CACACTGAGAAATAAACTGTTGAATTTACTGAATCAAACTGGTTCCACTGAACCTAGTAGAGTAAATATGAAGTGATATACGTATTTTCTTTAAAATAAAATATGTATATTGCCTCAATTTACTCAACTTGGTTCAGTGGAACCAGTTTGATTCAGTAAATTCAACAGTTTATTTCTCAGTGTGTAAAAAAGTACTTTTACTTTCTCGATTTTTGTGAACAGTTTTATGACTTCTCTCATCACTGAAACTTATTTTTACCAAAATAATTTTCTGTTGAGGTAGTTTTACTTTTGCTTAGTTATTTTTTTCAAGTACTTTAAAGACCTTCTGGTTACATTTTAGCTCGAAATATTCTCTTTACGACAGGAAGTAAAAGGTCATTTTTACTTGTTTTACCTCCGTGTATAAAAACCTCGTAAAGAAACATAAAATTAAACTTTCAGTCTTCTGTTAACTCCAACTCTTTGTAAGATCTGACTTGTTAATTCTGCACAGCGAGGCTTACCTTTCAGTCYGCCTCTCATTAACTTGGCWGTMAGGGAGTGAGAGACACAGGTGTGCTGTTACCATGGCAACATTTATTTTGATTAGGTTCACTTTTTATTTCTTATTTATTTCTTGTTTTTCCTCTCTTAGCTGCGATTTATTTAGTTTTTTTTTTTTACTGTCATTTCTGTGCTCAAAACGTCCATCAGAAAAGTTTAAAGTTTTTTTTTTGTTTTCATTTTGTTTATTTTCATGGTTCGTTTATAGAGAGGGGGCGGAGCCAGGACTAGAACCAGTGGATCAAGCCGAGCCACTGCAGCAAAGAGACCATTTGATTCAGGAGAAGCGGCAGGTTGAGGTAAGTCCAGGTTTAAACACGTCACAAATTAAAAACAAGTCATCAGAATAAACAAAACACACAAGTTTTGTTTATGTCGAAGGCCAAAGGGTGAGTGTGTTTGTGTCGTGTCTGTGTCAGACCTGTGAAGTAAGTAAAGAGACTTCCTGTTGAACCAGGAGGAGATGGCGGAGCTGCAGCGCAGGCTTGCGGCGCTGCAGGAGCGGAGCCGGGTCCTGGAGCAGCAGATCCAGCGGGAGGAGCAGCATCTGGAGGCCGAGGAGCTGGAGGGCTCCGTGCTGCGGAGCTGCACCGCGGCCCAGCTCCGAGACCTGAGCCGGACCCTGCAGGACCTGGTCACATCCGAAAGCCGCTCGCTGATCGCCGTCTCCCCTCCACCGTCCACGCTCAGGTCAGAGTGGGATCAGAGACGGTTAAAGTTTACACATTTATTTATTTATTTCAAGCTAATACTGGTTCATCACATCGTGGTTCAAAGACAATCCTGCACGATAATTCTGTTAGCAAAAAATAAATTAAATCACTTTATTTAATAAAACTCAAAGAAAGTAAACGCTTGGCGGAAGCATTTGGAGTCAATTCAAGATGGCCGCCATGGCTACGCCACCCTAGTAAAAACAAAAGTAGTGATAACTCAGTCAAATTTATAGATATTGAGCTAATGTTTGGTGTGGTAGTAGCTGAGGCTCATTCACAGCACAAACTGTGAGATCATTTACATAGTTTAAGTATAAGTGGATGTATATGTGATATATACATGTTTTTTTTTGTTGTTTCTTCCTTTTTTCCTAGTAGGAGATATAG